GATGAATATTGGAAATCTAACATATCACTTAAAACAAGTTAATTAGGCAAACAATGACATGAACATTGCACCAGCAGAATTCGTATGATTATTTCCATGTGATACAATTTATGGTAGATCTTGTTTCGTGATCGTCTTTTGTAGAAAATATTCAAACGCATAATCTGTACTGTATCACAACATTGTCAAAAATACAAACATAATTTGATGACTATTAGTTTTAAGCGCGAACTGTCACGCGGTGACCGACTTCACACTGCGCGAGATTGCAATCAAAGAATCAGTCGTGATTGGTCTGCCATGGTGTTAGTGTCAATCAAAATGAGCAAGTGAAAATATTACCATTAACTTCTTAAGTGAAAGAATGTCTTTGTGGTCGTAGATTCTTCAACATACACCGTCAATAATTGTCCACAGAAAACGTGGATGGAAACAGGAAGTTGACACAAGTGATCCGGTTTTCGAGTTTGTCATAAAAAGCCTACGAGCTTAAAACGAAAAACGAGCTGTTAAAATGACAACTATTGCTATTCATCTTATGGCCCGTTTTATCTCATTTGTTATTGATAGGCTTTGTCAGTTTTGTACTGGAGTCATTTTTAATCAACATTTAATGGAATCGGAAATGAAGTAATCAGGTCAAATTGACAAAAACGGCATCATATGTACATATTTTTATATACATGCAATCAGAAAAAAGGAATACAAATAACTCCATGGATGTATACCACATAAATAGACACTATTCCTAATTGTTATCCGCGTAAACACTTATTTCATAATTTTTCCACGTTTAAACACACTAAACACACAATACATATAAACATTCAAATATCTATCTATCATTCAACATTATTTATTAACGGTTTTTTTCTTCCTCATTTCATTAATTCATTCATTCAGTTATATTTGATTAACGTACACAAGAACTCGTAATCATGGGCTAATGTGAATAGCCTTCTGAATGTCCAGATAGGAATTCATAACGGCTAGCTTGGACTGTGGGGATATAGGTTGCACGTATCACTTACACATCATGTCAGAAGCACTATTGCATTTGAAGCAGCATCGTTAGTCGGCCGGACTTCTGTTCGTTACCAAAAACAAACTACCGTATTCGACGTAATAAGCACCCACGGCGACATTTTCTGAGATATTGGCCAGTGAACAATCCCAATAAGCACCCCTACCGATTGATCAATGTACACAGGACATTTATTCGCGTATAATACGCACTCGTGTGTTGTTTTTTCACCAAAATAATATTCTAATAAGAACCCCCTATTTCTAATTTTGAGAGCGCGCTGAGCGCTTATTACGTCTAATACCGTTCATACAATTAAAGTACCTACTTGTTAATGGGTCAGCGTGCACTATACGGAAACGTCGCTATAATACTACGTAATAGAAGTTGTTATCCATAAATTGTGTCTACTTTGTGTCTACTTTGTGTCTACTTTGTATCCCACTTGTCATTAAGTAAACAAAATACGTAGCCGTTAGGATGGTTGTCCTTTTTGTCCTAAGAAGTGGGTTGGTTTGGTTTGTTGTTTAACGCCGCACTCAGCAATATTCCAGCTATATGACGGCGGTCTGTAAATAATCGAGTATGGAACAGACAATCCAGTGATTAATGTCATGAGCATCGATCCACGCAATTGGGATCGATGACATGCATCAACCAAGTCAGCGAGCCTGACCACCCGATCCCGTTAGTCGCCTTTTACGACAAGCATAGTCAACTTTTACGGCAAGCATGGGTTGCTGAAGACCTATAAGAAGTGGTATTACGGGACATATTGTTATTAATAAACTTAATGAAATGTTTTCATGTGTGCGCCCCTCATGGTTTATTCTCCCTGAAGTGTTTTATTGCACGCGAAACAACCCCCACTCGTCCTTTATGTCTTCTATGCGATATCAACACTATTTACAGCCTCTTTAAGGATGTTAAAAAAATGTAAAAACTTTGAAAATATTTACCCGTATTGAGATATACGGTAACAATACAGTTATTATATGTTTATGCGCATTTCTAAATTGTTCATATTGGGATTTTTAGGTTAAAGGTTAAAAACAGGTTCGAAAAATGTGCATGTAGATATAAGCACATGCGCAGATGCTTGTGAAATTGTCCCCAGTATCGTTCATGTTACAGGTTGTGCGTCTCCTGCAGGAAATGAAACAGGTTTTATTCAAGGGTATATTCGGAATGGGTACAAGTCCCAAAGACTTACTGGCCCTTCCTCTTACACTCATATTGAACACAATGTCTGCAGTTTTGTGCACAATAAACAAGTACGGGATGCACATGTGATTGAGTGCATGCAAAACAGAAGCAGTGATTGACACATGACGTTACTAATTGAATCTACATTCAAAGATTACGAAGGATATACGAAAGGTTTATTTCATAACACCGTTAAAACTGAATGCAAACTAGAAAACTTGAATAATAAGAACTATTTTGGTGTAATCTGTTAAAATATCGAACCATAAGCTACTTGGTGAAACGGAAAGATGAAATATTACATGTACATCGGAAACACATACCCCGCCCTTCTTTCTGACGATGAGAGAAGAAGGTATATTGAATTGTAGACATCGAATGTTCATTCCAAGCGCTGCTTCATAAAACAAATCTTGTAGCGTCATGCTATTTTCGCGTCACCCAACTGCCTTTTTAACAGTAAACTTCTAAAAGATAGTTATTATATGACTGGTGTCTTGTGCATTAAGGGAATGGCGTATTTAGTTTGGTTTAGGTCATCCGTTATTGCGTGGCGCTCGATGTCAGCCTTCAAAATTGCATAAACCACTCAAACCGCCCGTAAAATCACCGAAAGACCTCGCGATTCACGATAGTCAAATATGATGCCTAACATTTTATAACGGTGGGTCACCAATACTTCTGAGCACACACAAGGCTTTATTTAGTTTGTTTGTTTGTTGTGTAACGCCGCACTCAGCAATATTCAAGCTATATGACGGCGGTCTGTAAATAATCGAGTCTGGACCAGAAAATCCAGTGATTGATATCATGACCACCGATCCACGCAATTGGGATACGGTGACATGCATCAACAAAGTTTAGCGACCACTTGATCCCGTTAGTCGCCTCTTACGACAAGCATAGTCGCCTTTGGCGGCAAGCATGGGTTGCTGAAGACCTATTCCAACCCGGATCTTCACGGGTCCATTATTTAGTACTTGCCCGAATTATATAATGAATTAAAAAAAACGTCTGACCTCCAAAGGAAATTGTCAACCCCTGAACCCGAACAAAAGACATGGTCCTAGCTGACCTGCGAAACTTATATTTTAGAATATTTCCACCTGCGATTAAAACATGAAGCATCAAGGGGCTCCGAAACTGTATTATATATAGTAAATCTGGAACTGTAGGTCCCCGATTTTCACTGTAATTGTGACATTGATGACGATTTGGGCAATTATTTTTACGGGAAAACTAAAACATTATATAAACACATACTAAATGATAGCAATTCACTAAAAGATAGTTATAAATGGACCCGTGAAGATCCGGGTTAGAACTGATCTTCAGGAACCCATGCTTGCCGTAAGACTCATGGGATGGATGGTCAGACGCTGAATATCCCAATTGTGTGGATCGATGCTCATGACGTCATTCACTGGATTGTCTGGTCCAGACACGATTATTGACAGGCCACCGCTGGAATATTGCGGCGTTAAATAACAAGCAAATGTTATAAATGGAAATAATTCGTTACAAAAATATCGCATCATTTTGACTGTAGGATATACGTTTATTTGATATCCAAACTTTGTTTTTAAATCCACTGCGTTATCGTGTCAATAGCCAAGGGTGAGTGAGTTCCGCTACAGTCTGAAATAATACTGCTTTATCACAGCCAAATGTATCTACAACCAGTTGTTGATGACACACCCACAACGTCGAGATATGAGTGAGTGAGTGAGTGAGTGAGTGAGTGAGTGAGTGATGACACACCCACACCGTCGAGATATGAGTGAGCGAGTGCGTATTGTTTTGCGACGTTTTTAGCAATCTTTCTGCAATATCACGGCGAGGAACACCGAAATTGGCTTCACATATTGTACCCATGGGGAATCGAACCGAGTGAACGCTTTAACCACTAGGCTTCCCCACAGTCCCAATCTCATTAAAATCAGATCTAAGTCTGGCTGCCGCTAAACAAAGCGATAGCGAGAACTAAGATCTGATTTTAATGAGATTGCCGCAGTCCCTTCTTGGAACTAGAGGACATTAGACCAAATAGTACATGACCATCATAATGTTTATATTTAACCAGAGGTGGAAATTCTTTCAGTCCATAAAGATGGCACCTGTCTATATTTTCCTCTAACCCCGTTTCTGTGATTCCGCAATATTTAATCATATTATACCTTTTCTCTTTTGCTAATGTTAATTTTTTTGCATGATGCCTCTTGCTGATGATTTGACACTAATATACTTATTACAACAGTTGAAATGATGCCAAGTTAGCAAATTTGCCTGATATAAATTCACAGGACTACGGATTTTTGTATATTTTGAGTTTCCCTTTCAAGGATGATAAACAAAACATTATATATTTTCAGATATCTTTATGGTCTTTCATACAATCATATTAACCTTTCATAGCCAGCATGCATCGAGAACAGCACAATAGTTACAAATATTTGGTTGGAAAAGGGTTGAGTTAAGGAAACAGGCAATGGATGACGTGAGACACTTTTTCTTATTCCGTATGTCAGGTTCCGGAATGTGTTTTTGTTACATTCACCGGAAGTAAATAAATACGTGAAACAGTAAGGCATTTAAATGAATCCAACTCACGACATACACACCTACGATTGACCAGTATGACCGATATATAATCTTTTTAAATTTTAAAACTAATATCTTTGAAAATCCCTTGGATTTTCAGTCATTAGGTATTAGTCCTAACGATTCTGTAATTTGAAGTATTTTCCGGATTTTAACCGAATAATCACTACTTCCGGTACGGGAATTCTTGATTCCCATTTCTGACATTAAACATTACCATGACTCGTGATATATCAAACCCTGCTCCCCTTTTCACACAATGTCTTTAAGTAACTATCAGTGTGAGTTTTGTCAATGAAAAAAGGTAATTACAAACCCCGTAAAGCATGACATGGTATTTTGCACACCTCCCCAATGTTCAAGTTTCGGGCAGTGTGAAAAAGACGTTTCCCAGTTCCTTACACACGATCACACGTCAACTGTCTTCATGAACGAAGTGTTCGTGGATTTGGGTGTTCACACGACATGTTACCCCAAGAAGGAAACAGCATGACTGGCGGTAAGAAAATGATACTGAGACGCATATTGTGTAAAAGGTGTTTAGGAATGACGTTATCCATAATCACTGTTGATTGTGATTGAGGTTTATCACGTAATGTGAAAATGTGAAAATGACACCGATTGTGTTGTCTACACTGGCCTTACTTACAGCCGCCGAATGACCTTCAGTAGTACACATAGCGTTAGTAAGAGTGTCAATGTGCCTGTCATACAGCGAATGTTATTTATATTTCAGTATTAAATGTGTTTAAAACTTTTTAGAACTTTATATAGACCTGTCTACCCCATGGTAGTTTTTGGTCAAATGAGTAAATGAAAAGTCTGGGATTGAGTTCAATATTAGTAGGGTATCTGACATGTGAAACACACACTTCACTGATGTCACTCTCTCTGTAATCAGCATGACTAGATTCTACTTATTGTGGTACAGCTTTAGTATCACTGATGTTAACAATGGTTAGTGAATGGAAAGATAGGAGAGGTGTATAGATATGTAACTCAAATTTATCTATTATTACTAAAACATTGCTTATCTGCAAGCATTATAAGCCTTTGTCCAAATACAACATGATAAATGGCACGGCTCCATGGGTAAGATCGCTGGCATTGTGTGCTGGCAATTAAGTGCCTCACTCTGGCAGTGTGAGTTTAAATTCCAACCCAAAAAAGTATGAGAATCTGTACTTTACTTAGAAAGTGTTATCCCAAATATAACATTTGTTACATGTTTAATTAAGAATACTTTAGAAATACAGAAGTTCATTGACATTGAAGCTGTTACTTTGCTTGGTTAGAGTGGAAGCTTTTTCTAAGGTAAATTATGCAATGTCTATGCAAATATTATTTGTTGTGGATAGCATGTAGAGATGCTTAGTGTACTTTCCATTGTTTTGCAGTGTGGACGTATGTTATGATGATGATGTTTAGTTATCATCTCTTCAATCATGTCAGTGACGGGTTGATTTTACTGCTGGCCACTTAAAATTATGAAAGGCTTGCTGAACAGAAAGTAGATAGCCTGTCTTGTTAGTCGAAATTTCACCCCTTCTCTGTGTATAATTAAGTTTTTCAATTAGACACTGCTCGTAAATCATGTAATTTCGATGAGAAAATATTTAGTGAGGATGAGGTCATGTGAATGGTTAACTAAAAGATCATCTCGGTAGAATGACACAACTAGTGGCCATTTTGTAATATTCTGTACAACAACATCTTTATTTGCTCATAAAATTGCAACGAAATGAGGCAAATGGAACACAAACTGCAGGAAATGAAGTTTTAGGGGTGAGGCGTTCTAAAAATGTTGCCGTGGCCTCCAACATTTTGTTTTGGGACAGACAGTTTGGAGAAGGGCCAGTTACAACAAAAACTCTATAATATGTTAATTGTTCAACATTATTTTCAGTTAAATTACCACTGATGTAAATAAGGATAATTAAATGCTATGTTACAAAATGTACCTGAGGTTAGTACAAAATAACACAGTTCCCCAATGTGCCTGCCATTGACCATGATGGACAGTTGGTTGAACGTCCTAGGTAACTCCTTGGACAATAGACCTGTGAAGATTCCGGGGTATAATAGGTCTTCAGCAACCCATACTTGCCATAAAAGACGACTATGCTTGTCGTAAAAGGCGACTAACGGGATCGGGTGTTCAGGCTTGCTGACTTGGTTGATACATGTCATCCATCCCAAATGCGTGGATCGATGCTCATGATATTAATCACTGGATTGTCTGGTCCAGACTCGATTATTTACAGACTGCCGTCATATAGCTGGAATATTGCTGAGTGCGATGTTGAACAACAAACCAACCAACCAACGCTGGACAATATGGACAATGGTATTATTAGTTTCTGACTCTAATAAGACAGTCTACCACAGATAGAAGACTAGCTATAGTTATGAGGTGAACATATGCAGACTAAACTGCTACCAGTACTAGAGAGATTGTGAAAGTTAATTGCCGTGTTGCTGACAGAGAACCTGGTGGACATCCTGACCTGTGGGAGATGTGGCAAGAAATATCCCCTCCACAACATTACAAACTTCATACAACACAAGCGACTGGACTGCCTTGACTCTGGTCCTCTCAAGGAAACACAACCTCAAGGTAAAGATACACTTTCATATGTTTCGGGTGACAAGTTTGACTAATACTATTTGCTGGCTGCTGGCTACCCACTAACAATGACTCCTGTTGCCTGGGTTGGCATAGGCATCATAAGGCAACTAAGGTTGGAGGCAACTAAGATCCATCTAGTGGTTCAACTCTTTGGCTTGCTTGCATGTCCCAGCCCCATGGATCCTGCTCATGTCTGCAGTCACTGATTTCCTGGTCTGCAGACATGAGCTGCTCGCTGACCTGGTTGATGCATGTCATCGTATCCCAATTGCGTGGAGCTATGCTCATGATGTCAATTACTGGATTGTCTGGTCCAGCTGATTATTTACAGACTGCCGTCATATAGATGGAATATTGCTTAGTTAAATAACCTACAACAAAGATTTGCCTGGTCAGTCCTGTAAGCTGACTTGTTATGGCAGGAATATTGCTTTCTGCATGGTTAAAGGATATTCCCTTTGTCACTGTTGAACCATTGTGACCATGCTTGATGCCATCTGGCCGTAGTGGCTGCCTACTGACCATGCTTACTGCCTACTGACCATGCTTACTGCCCACTCACAATACTGAACCCCTGCTGAACATGTCCACTACCAATTCGGTAACAGTAGAGCACGGATATAACAAACTACAAGGGACTGGAGAAATCAGTTTGTTATGAACGTTGTTCGTTATATACCTTACCGCTCGGAAACGTCCGCCATCTTGGATAAAATTAAACACAATACACCTAATTACAGCATTTACTTGTATTTGCAGTCATCACTTCATAGCATTCAAATAATAACATTTCATAACATTCATTTAATCATATTAAATTCTGAACATTTTTAGAATATTGTTTATCAAATATGTATTTAGCATTTTGCGATTTACATATTGGGAAATGTGGAGTCTGTGGTTTCGCTGTGATTGTATTGATTCGCTTCTGATTGTATATAAGCCAATTGTCAGTGACACTTGACACTGAGTGAGATTTCTCAGTTCGCCATACACGTCTCTAATTAGTGGTATTTGTGCTTGTTGGGGATCAGATATCAGTTCGCTATATATGTTAGTTCGCTGTAAAGAGTTCGTTATGTACGTAAATTCTATATGATAATATATAGGAGATAAATCAGGAATTTTGTAACAGTTCATTGTATCCGTTCGTTCGCTCTACCCGTGTTCATTATCTCCATGTTCTACTGTCCTAAACATACTGGATGCCTTTTGAATATGTCCACTACTAATCATGCTAATACAGTTGGTAAGACACTGGATGTCTTCTGATCTGCTGCCTTTGAAATCTATCGCTAACATTGATTCCTCCCTGACTGCTAACCACTGTTTACTGCTGACCATTGAAATCTATCGCTAACATTGATTCCTCCCTGACCGCTAACCACTGTTTACTGCTGACCATTGAAATCTATCGCTAACATTGATTCCTCCCTGACCGCTAACTACTGTTTACTGCTGCAGGTACTAAAACCACCAGCCACCACTCCGCATGTGACCAGCAGCGGGAGTATGGGTCATGGGAGATCACGCAAATTGGTAACAATACCTTGAATTAATACTGTTCATTGTCACATTTGTCTCCTACACTAACAGCCAGTGGGTCTGGAGTTGGTCTATGATATTGCTGGAATATTGCTAAAAGCAGCGTAAAACCAAACTCACTCACTCACTCACTCACTCACTCACTCACTCACTCACTCACTCACTCACTCACTCACTCACTCACTCACTCACTCACTCACTGTTGCATGCTGCTGTAATCACAACACATGTGCAATAGACACATTATGTACAGGAATCTGGTCATGAATAGTTTCGCTTTTTCAATTACTGGAATGAAGTTACTAAATTTTGAATTTCATAATTTCTAATCGACTTGTCACTTAGGAAAACTTGGCCAACAAGATGAAAACATGCATGATTTTGAAAAATGCAATATATATACTGAACCGCAAAAAAACATCACCATGAATAGATATATGAGAAACCTTATTTGTCCAAACACTGTAAACATACTTTGAGACATATTAAATGGATGAAACTTGGAAAAACTGATCATCAAGGTTGAAATTAAAGTGTCAAATGTTCTTAAAGTGAGACATAACACTAGTCTCTGAGAACATGGCATCGTAAGTCAGTATCTCTTGTGTCCGCCATGTGCATTGATGACTGCCGTGCAACGTCGATACATGGAATGGATGAGGCGGTTGATGAAGGCTATAGGCACTTGAGCCCACATTCTGAGGAACGCCTGACGCAGTTCAGCTGCAGTTGTCGGCCTTGGTCGGACATCATTCAGCCGTCTTTGAATCTTGTGCCACAGGTGCTCAATGGGATTTAAATCAGGACTGAGGGCAGACCACTGCATGGTTCTGATGCCATTCTGCTGGAGGAAGTCTCTTGTTGCTCTCGCAGTGTGGGCACAGGCATTATCATGCTGAAACTCATGCTTGCAGCGACGTGCCAAATGAGGTGGGGCGTGTGGTCTCAAAACTTGATCAATCTACCGAGCTGCTGTGACGCCATCCAATTAATGTTCCCCACGGCATCGCCAGACTCTCTCTCTCCCATCTGCTGTTGAGATACAATAACAGCTCTCGTCTGAGAAGAGGACTCTTCTCCCCAGCTGGTGGCACCAATCCTGGTGCTGTGTTGCCCACTGAAGATGGTCCCGGCGATGACGTGGTGTCAGAATGGGTCCTCGGTGTGGGCTGTGACAGTGGAGGTGTCTGCTCGTCAATTGTTGACGCACGGTGTCAGCACTATTGTGTTGCTGGTGTGTCCCCATGGTCTGTCGAGCAGTTTCCACAGCAGTAACAAAACGATCTTAAAGATGCTGTTGCACAATCTGACGATCCTGACGTCGGGTGGTGACCCTTGGTCTTCCAGTACGTGGTCGGTCATCTGTAGTGTTGGTGGTCTGATAGCGTTGCTGGAGCCTGTGTATGGTCCTTACGTGGACTTGAAATGCATTGGCTACTTGCCAGGCGGTTTGTCCAGCTTGCAATCGTCCAAGGACTGGGTGTCGCTGATTTCTTGTCAATCTTGGCATGTGGTTGCAATTCAATAACGAATGAATGTTATCCGACCTGTGTGGATTTTTATGGGGCAAGTAATGGGGGAACGCATGTGTATTTCAATTTGCACGGAACTCACGTGCATCGGGTTACCATGGCCGTTGCCATGATGCATTTGGGCCCTCAGTTTTATTGTCATCTGCTTTTTTTTTTTATCATCAAATTTCATTTTTCCGGACAAGGTAATGTTAAATTTTAGAAACTTTGACAAAAATTACCCAGATATTTAAATGACAACTTTTCATGAATGTTACTTGGGATGACATTTCTTTTGTGGTTCAGTATAATATTTTTGAGACATATTGTATTTATTAGTACTTCAAATCGTAGTATTCCGGTAATGCCTCACACCTCTAGAATGAGTGAGTGAGTATGGTTTTACGAGGCTTTTAGCAATATCACAGCGGGTAAATGAAGACTTTAACAACTAGGCCCAGAGTGCCTGCCCTCTAGAAAGTGGAGACGATACAATCTAGGCAACACCAGCAGAGGTGTAACAATTCTCACCAGCATTCTGTGCAATGCGATACTCTGCCATCATGACATGACGAATTGTATTAAATTAATTATTAAATATTTTCGGCTGGAATGTGCAAGTAATTTTGCCATCAGTTTGCACAAATCTACTAAATATGTTTTGGTTGGGCTTCTACTCATTGCCTGTGGTGATGTAATAATTCCTATCATGTATCATGCCTTGAATTGTAGCATGACCTTACTTCCCAGATATGTAAAGCACCCATGAAGATCCAGGTTAGAATAGGAACTCGGCAACCCATGCTTGTTGTAAGAGACGACTAATGGGATCAAGTGGTCGGGCTCGCTGACTTGGTTGATGAATGTCATCGTATCCCATATGCATGGATCGATGCTCATGATGTCAATCACTGGATTGTCTGGTCCAGACTTGATTATTTACACACTGCCATCATAAACAACAATCAAACAAAAACAAAAAGATATGTAAAGTATCTCGACAAGGAGTATTGTTACAGCTCTTGTCACCTGCTAATTAAGTTTAATAGCTGTCTACCCCTATAAACATGATAAATTTGAGACATTTGTATCAAGATGAATTTATTAGAAAATGTTTTGCTGCAAACTTCTGTGAGGACCCCTTCCACTAAGTGATCTTATCCCTACGACTGTCACAAGTCTATGGTAAAGTTTGGAAGCTATGATTGCCTTAGCGCTAAGATCGCCTTGTGGAATGGGGATCGGGCTTTGTAACAGTAAGATGAGATGGGCAGCCCCTTAACTAGTATTGCAGTAAAGATTGTTGGATAGTGTCTTTCTTGTTTTGGATTGTTTGTTTATTGGTTTGTTGTTTAACACTGCACTCGGCGATATTCCATCTATACGACGGCGGTCTGTAAATAATTGAGTCTGGACCAGACAATCCAGTGATTGAGATCATTAGCATCGATCCACTCAATTGGGATACGATGATATGCATCAACCAAGTCAGCGAGCCTAGCCACCTGATCCCGTTAGTTGCGTCTTGTTTTGGATTGATTAAGAGCAACCTCATTAAAATCAGATCTTAGTTCTCGCTACCGCTAAACAAAGATCTGAGGACATCCCATTAGGGGTCACGTCAGAACGACCTTTCATCTGACCAATTAGAGCGTCCCTTGCTAGATCATGAAAGTGAAAGTCGGAATGTGATTTCCAATCATGCGGCCTCAAAAACGTTAAAACGGGGTATTCTGAACAATAGTTACGGGCTTAACAACTGAATCTTTACAATCTAGACCATATATTAGCCACTTAGAAGGTTCTTTTGTTCAGGTTTTAAATTTTTAAGCGAGAATTTGTCAAAATATGTTTCGAAGTGTAGTCGCCAATTTTAAATTAGTGCCGTAAAGCACGAGAACGCTGCCTTCTGATTGGCTAATGTTGATTTCTTGTTATTATTTCCATTGGTCGGTCAGAGTTTGTGAAAGGTCGGTCTGACGTGACCAGTAATGGGATGTCCTCAGATCTTTGTTTAGCGGCAGCAAGAACTAAGATCTGATTTTAATGAGATTGGATTAAGAGTGACCTTATGGTGTCATGAACCTGACATATAACACTGCCATCTTCATACTCAGGTCCAAACGAAACTGTGTTGTCCTGCTACTCCTGCTCCCAGGACTTCGTGACGGCCTGGGGTCTGCTGAACCACGTGCAGGTCTCCCACAATCTCAACATCTTCATCAAGCGAGGCACAGACGGGAAGGATGCGGGACATGATGACGACCTGTCTGAAGATGAAGATAAAGAAAACATGAAGGAGGAGACGACAATGGTGGAGATCAACCAGGGGACGGGAAGGGTGACGACAAACGTGTCGCGGAACTGTACAGAGCTGGCGGCAGCAGGGGGCACCACCATCTGTTGTAACAGCAAGGAATGCTGTGTGACCATCATACCCGGCACACATGAGCGGCCGAAAAAATGCTGCAGCGCTGTTGTCCCGAAGAAGCGGAAGCGGCACATGGAGGAGCACATGAGTGGTGAAGGCGAGAGGGAGCTGATGGAGGGGCAGGACATGATGGACGAACAGGAGGACCTGGATAAGGACTGTGATGATGAGAATGAGTCGGACAACGGTGATGATGGGGATGAGGGGGACGACAATGGGAGCAGAGATGCTATTTATATCGACTTCCGACCTCGGGAGAGCGGGAATGGGAAGCCATCAGATGAGAACGGGGATGTGCAGACTGACAGTGATCAGCCGTGGGGGACCGTTGAGGTTCGGCAGGGCAGGGCCCAGGATGACGATGAGGGTCCCACTCAGTGTTCCTCGGAGAGCCGTGATACTTGCTCCGACAGAGGTCCGATCATCATGCAGCCCGGGATGACCTTCTCCATCCCAGTGTCCTACTCCCACAATGCATCCTCCAGCCCCAACATCAGATCAGCTGCAGCAGCAGCAGCCGATCCCACCAGGACCAATCCCATGGTTACATACAGCCTCCCCAAGCAGACGATGTTCTCGGTTGGAACGTCGCGAGTGATGACAATTAGTTCCAACACTGCGCCCTTTGTCATGGGGCCCCGCAACGTGACCCAGATCCTCCGCCTCCAGACAGGGGATGCTGGAGATGCTGAGTGTTCCCGGGGGGCACCTGCTGGAGATGAAGAGGAGTCTCGGTTGATGATTGACATTGACAGCGGGCAGGATGACGAAGGCATGGACAACGAGGATGATGGGTCGCCAGAAAAGGGTAGCGGCAAGAAACGGCGCTACCCGACATCACGGCCGTTCAAATGTGACCAGTGTGAGCATGCTTTCAATCAGAGGATTCATTTGAAGAAGCATATGAGTAAACATACAGGTTAGTAAACACTTGAGAAAACACCAGCCTTTTCATGCAAGTAAACAAGCATATTTGTTCACACATGAGTTAATGATTCTGTTCACACTTGGGTAAATAATTGTCTGTTCACACCAGAGTAAATAATTTTGTCTGTTCACACTTGAACTAACATACACATCTGTTCACACTTGAGTGAACAAACATGCCTGTTCACACATGAGTAAACATCTCAGATCAGATCATCTAGATGCATGGGTATACCTACATTGCTTGAGCAGATTCCGAACAGTATGTGAATTGTAGTTCTGATCATACCTTTTCTCTCAGGTACATGTGTTATATTTATGAAATACCTTGTGCTTAGGTTATGATCATGAACAGTCAGTCCCCTATGTCCTCTGTTGAATATGTTGTTACGGAAGTGTTTGACTGATGTTCCTGTGATGTACCTGTGACAGGTGTAAAGCCGTACAAGTGTCAGCAGTGTGACTACTCCACCGTGGAGCGCAGCCATCTCAAGGTCCATATTAGGATCCATACAGGTGAGTGACCTCAAGGTCCATATCAGGATCCATACAGGTGAGTGACATCAAGATCCATACATGTGCGTGACCTACAGGTCCATATCAGGATCCATACAGGTGAGTGACCTCAAGGTCCATATCAGGATCCATACAGGTGAGTGACATCAGGATCAATACAGGCGAGTGACCTACAGGTCAATATCAGGATCCATACAGGTGAGTGACCTTCAAGGTCCATATCAGGATCCATACAGGTGATTGACCTCAAGGTCCATATCAGGATCCATACAGGTGAGTGACCTCAAGGTCCATATCAGGATCCATACAGGTGAGTGACATCAAGATCCATACAGGTGCGTGACCTACAGGTCCATATCAGGATCCATACAGGTGAGTGACCTCAAGGTCCATATCAGGATCCATACAGGTGAGTGACCTCAAGGTCCATATCAGGATCCATACAGGTGAGTGACATCAGGATCAATACAGGCGAGTGACCTACAGGTCAATATCAGGATCCATACAGGTGAGTGACCTCAAGGTCCATATCAGGATCCATACAGGTGAGTGACATCAAGATCCACACAGGTGCGTGACCTACAGGTCCATATCAGGATCCATACAGGTGAGTGACCTCAAGGTCCATATCAGGATCCATACAGGTGAGTGACATCAGGATCAATACAGGCGAGTGACCTACAGGTCAATATCAGGATCCATACAGGTGAGTGACCTCAAGGTCCATATCAGGATCCATACAGGTGATTGACCTCAAGGTCCATATCAGGATCCACACAGGTGAGTGACCTCAAGGTCCATATCAGGATCCATACAGGTGAGTGACCTCAAGGCCCATATCAGGATCCATACAGGTGATTGACCTCAAGGTCCATATCAGGATCCATACATGTGATTGACCTCAAGATCCATATCAGAACCTATATACAGGTGAGTGACCTCAAGATCCATATCAGAACCTATATACAGGTGAGTGACCTCAAGATCCATATCAGAACCTATATACAGGTGAGTGACCTCAAGGTCCATATCAGAATCTATATACAGGTGAGTAACCTCAAGATCCATATCAGAATCTATATACAGGTGAGTGACCTCAAGATCCATATCAGAACCTATATACAGGTGAGTGACCTCAAGATCCATATCAGAACCTATATACAGGTGAGTAACCTCAAGATCCATATCAGAACCTATATACAGGTGAGTGACCTCAAGGTCCATATCAGAATCTATATACAGGTGAGTGACCTCAAGATCCATATCAGAATCTATATACAGGTGAGTGACCTCAAGATCCATATCAGAACCTATATACAGGTGTGTGACCTCAAGGTCCATATCAGAATCTATATACAGGTGAGTGACCTCAAAATCCGTATCAAGATCCATGTAAGTGACCTCAAGGTCCATATTGGTGAGTGATCTCCAGGTTCTTAACAGGATCTATACAACTAAGTCACCTGACCTCGAGATTCCTGGTCAGAATTGGTCCACAGCAGCCTATGCTGGTCGTAAGAGGCCACCTCGATGAGGTGGTCTAGCAAGGAAAATTGGTTAAGGTGTTAGGGGTTGTGGCTCATGATATCAATCACTGGATTGTCTGGTCCAGACTCGATGATTTACAGACCGTGATCATGTAGCTGGAATATTGCTGAGTGGTGCTTTTAACAACAAACAAAACATGCAGGTAAGTCACATCCCATCAGGAAACAAATAACAGGTGGGTAAAATTGAGTTCTTTGGTATCATTCTAAATGATACATAATGTACTGGTAATAATTTGGTATATATTTTTGAATAATGTAAATGGATTGAATATTACATCATATTTTACTCACTGGGTAGAATAGGTCTTCAGCAACCCATGCTTGCCGTAAAAGGTGACTATGCTTGTCGTAAAAGGCGACTAACGGGATTGGGTGGTCAGGCTCGCTGACTTGGTTGATGCATGTCATCGATCCCAATTGCGTGGATCGATGCTCATGATATTAATCACTGGATTGTCTGGTCCAGACTCGATTGTTTACAGACCGCCGTCATATAGCTGGAACATTGCTGAGTGCGACGTTAAACAACAAACCAACCAACCAACCAACCACTAACGGTTAAGGACATTTTCAATCAATCGCTACATGAGAGCTGGGTGACTGATCAATCCCTGAATACGTCTGATCACCTGCTAATGTGAGGACTAATGTATACTTATTTGAACAGGCCTTCTTAGAACATGAATACATGACTCTTTCTTTGTGGATAGCAACTTCTTTTATTCATTCAGAGCTACTTCTGTCTCCTTCATCATTCACCTGATGAAGGGGTGGTCAGGTAGCCTAGTGGTCAAAGTGTTCGCTCATCAAGCCCCGATTTGATTCCCGACATGGGTACAATGTGTGAAGCCCATTTCTGGTGTCCCCCGCCGTGATATTGCTGGAATATTGCTAAAAGCAGCGTAAAACTCACCTGATGAAGGAACAAGAAGTCGCTCTGAAACGTTGTACAAAGAATAAAATAAGTTGCTTTCCATAGAAAAAGTGTGATGCATTCATGTTCTCCCAAATTCTAAATGCCTCGCAAATACTTCCTAGAACAGGTATATTCCCAGTTACTCTCTTGTCCTCTCCAGGTGAGAAGCCCTTCAAGTGTACATTCTGCGAGTATGCCACGGCCCAGAACAGCACGCTCAAGATTCACCTCAAGAGACATCATGGCGGTAAAATGTTTGAGTGTCAAGCTTGTAGAAAGAAATTTACACAGAGAAATCTGCTTCAAAGTCATCAAGAGGAGCATCGCAGGACGCCTGGTGTCGGTGAACCAATGCTGCAGGCTCTTACTGGACATGCAAATCAGCTCCCGCTTCCAGTTCAGATAGCCAATCAGAATACAGTATCTACAAGTGCTTTCCCGAGTTCATTGACCTCCACACAGACAGTTGAGGATGCTGATGGCAATCAGAGGGATGCAGATGAACGGCCAGAACAAAGTGAAGCAACTGTGACATAATCAGTTCGACCTAGTCTTCACACACATAGTGGATTGTGTCTAAAATACACTGATCGGCTTGCCATGGACTAGACTTACACCAGCAGTGTGTTTTTCAAAGGAAAGAACAACTAAAACTGCTGATAATACAATTTTACTCCAAGTGACACATGTTATCTAACACAACAATGACACAAGTGACAACTATAACACAACAATGACACAAGTGACCTAACACAACAATGACACAAGTGACCTGACACAGCAGTATTAGTAACCTAACATGACACTATTAACCTAACACAACGAAACTATTGACATTACACAACAATGACACAAGTGACCTGACACATCACAAGTGACCTATCACAACAATGACACAAGTGACCTAACACAACAACAACACAAGTGACCTTACACAACGACTCTATTGACCTAACACAATGACACTATTGAACTTACACAACAATGACACAAGTGACCTAACAATGACACAAGTGACCTAACACAACAACACATGTGACCTAACAATGACACAAGTGACCTAACACAACAACGACACAAGTGATAAAGAGAAGCACAATGATGACACAAATGACTTACATGTACAACAATGATGTTCAAATGAAAGGCGTATTATGTATTATGTAAACAACGGATGATGCTGATATTTGGTTCCTGATATTGGAGAATCTCTGACTGACAAGAAGGATTCATTGTGCTGAACCCTAGTGTGACTAAGCACTCTATTACTTGCCGTTAAAGGCAACCTGGAGGTCAGGCTGGTGTGTGATCGTGTGTCATCGTACCCCGATAAGGTGAAATGTTGCTTTGAGTATCAACTGGTTTGTCTGTCGAGACTCAAGTACTGCAGGCAATTGTGGGATATAGGTGAACCTTGTTAATCTGAATGGTACCGTTTCATGGGAAATAGTCCAGATTATCCCGTTTCAGAATTAACGAATAAAGGGTACACATATTCCATGATATACACACCAAAAAAGATTATTGGAATAATGGATGTCTAGTCTAACAAGGGTCACTGTAGCTGGAATATTGCAGTCACTCGGTCACAGTGTAAGTCCAAGTGGGGTGTTTCTGTGAAGCTGCGGTATGGTCACGCAGTGGGCTAGCACTATTAATCTGGCACTAGTCCTGACTTGTGGATACAGACACACGCACAGACGGACAGACACACCACAGACACACACACAGACACACACACACAGACACACACTAACCTTGAACCCGATATTACACCTCATTTTCCCTCACAAACACATAGCTCACCTACTTAGATAGGTTACCATTGTATTGTTTCTCTGTAGCATGTAGGTAAGGACTTTATTTATAGGTTGAAACAAGGAACTAAATAATCCATGAAACCAGGAGTGTTTCAAGATCAGCCAGTTAAACAAGTTTATTTCCCATGTTGCATGATATTTGCATGTATGACAGATTAATTGTTCAAATGTAATGTGTAAACATTTACTGTGCAATTTCATTCTTAACATGGGTGAGAAGAAACATACTTAAAAAAAAGATTCACCATATCTTAGCAACAAGCAGAATATTTTTGCTTACCTGCCGATAGCTGAATTTGCAATATATCCACGTTTAGTATGGTCATATCTCTACATAGTTATACTTAGTTACTGAATCTTGCTTGCCCAACATTCAGCGAGAGTATTACCCTGCTTGCATGTTATATAGTACTCAAAAGAAGTTAAGGACCACTTGATTCTTTCATATTACTACAGTTAATCTGGCATGCCATGATGTAGTAACTGTAGTAATATGAAAGAATCAGGTGATCCTTAACTTCTTTTGAGTAGTATACAATGGTTCACAGTGCCGATTCCAGTTTGGACACGCATTAGAGGATGACCATTCATATTCTGTGGGATGGGGATGGGATTTGTTTGGTTGAACTATTTAAATTATCTGTTCCCCCTAATGGTGAAGATCCGGGGTAAAATAGGTCTTGCATGGATCGATGCTCATGATGTCAATCATTGGATTGTCTGGTCCAGACTTGATTATTTACAGAACGCCTTCATATAGCCAGAATATTGCTGAGTGCGGCACTAAACAACAAACAAACAAATTCCTGGGTGTCAGGACAAGAAATTGTTTTTGTTCTCCCTTGTAAAACAGGTCTTGTTCTGTTTGATACATATGTAATGCCTACTAACATCTCCACACGTTGTATCTATCACATGCTTGTTACATATCATAGACTTGATCCTTTATATTTAACATCTGAAGTGTTTGCCTTACATTTGCCTGACATTCAAGGTCATGGTCTCTGCTTTTGAGAGAAGCATCTGGAAAGGCCAGTACTGTACATACGATAGACTTTTTTCCCTCCGTTTTTTTTATACAACAGGATGGGACTCCATTGTTAAAGATTCTTGCAACATTAAATTCTGTTTGAGGTCAAGGTCGTTACAGATTGCAATATGAGACCTGTGAACTTATTTTAATTTCACTTCTGATTCCGTGACATTTTTCAATCCGTGATTCATACCATCAACATGTCGTAATGACAAAGGTCAAGGTCACTCCCTCATCAGAAGGTCAGATTATTATAGGAAAAAAATCGGTATCTTTTGGAGGCTTTATATTTGTTACACCTTGGACAGTCAACCAAGGTCAAGGTCGATGTACGCATTGTAGGTGTCAAGAATGTGTTCAACATTAATATAAGAGCATATTTATCATTGTGTTCAGTGTGGCATGTTATTGATGAAAGCACTGTATACAGTATCACTATTTTGGCTATCAGACTACAGTTTTGCATGTTCAGTTTCATGCTCACAAGAAAGAAGTTTGTACGAAATACTTTTATGTTTAGGACCAGTCATGCACATCATGTAACAAAAATGGCTTGTGTTCCACATGTCCTAGAACAGGACCCTTTCCACAAAATTATCTTGGTGCTAAAACTAACGTAACGTCGATGCTATGACATAGATTAAAGACAGCCATAGGGCTATGATCACTCACTGGGACTGAGCCTCTCTTTGAATATTGTCCTCAGATGAACTGTGACACCGGTAACCATGGAAACTACCAAAACCAAAGTGCTATAGAACCAGACATCAAGTGCCAGCTGTTACAAATTGTTTATATGGAGCCCATTTGTGGTGTCCCCTGCCTTGATATTGCCAGAAGTACTGTAAAACCATACTCCCTCACTCACTCTGGTGTCACTCGCCATGATATTGCTGGAATATTGCTAAAAGTACCGTAAAACCATACTCACTCACTCTGGTGTCACTCACCATGATATTGCTGGACTATTGAAAAAAGTGGCGTAAAACCATGCTCACTCACTACAGAATGTTTAAGTTGCTATAAATAGTTGTCAGGAATACATTCTGGAGGATCTGTCACAGTGTCACGTGACGATTACAGGACATACCTCTACAGTGCCAGATATTATTGAAATAGCAATTATTTGACAGGGATATAAGAGCATGTTATTTATTCATTACTGTTATGGACAATGTGTATCAAAGGTGTTTAAGTTTGTATCAGATTATTCTGATGTTGAGAGAATCTTGCCTAGTGTGCAGAGTTTATCTTTGTAACAATGTATATATACATGTACTGTGTATTTGTATGTATAAAATATGAAGAACCATAATCGCCTCTCTTGTCTTTGAACGTCCTCTTCTCTATGTTGGACTCTGTTGGGATCCCTGATTAGTGTATTGGTCCTGATTGGTTGTCAGAGGTCAGTAAGTGGATAGGGGCGGTCGGGTAGCCTAGTGGTTAAAGCGTTTGCTCGTCACCTCAAAGACCCGGGTTCGACTCCCGACAGGGGCACAGTGTGTGAAGCCCATTTCTGGTGTCCCCCGCCGTGATATTGCTGGAATATTGCTAAAAGCAGCGTACAACTATACTCACTCACTCAGTAAGTGGATTGGGTGGTTTTGTTGAATGTATGTCATCTTTAAGGACAATGTGGACATTTGCTCTACATATCAATCACTGGATTTGTCTGGTCCAGACTCGATTATTTACAGGTTGTTGTAATATAGCTGATGTAATATAGCTGACACAAAGTCAGATTGTGTGGGTACGAATGGATTGGACTCAACCTCAAACTGTACAAGAATTTGAACATTCCTAAGAACGTGTTATCCCCAATATAACAATTGCTACATGTTATTCATGGTTGCCAAATTCAAAGTCTCCACAAGGCCAATTCACATTTAGGACCTTTCAAGGCCAGACTGCCAAATTCAAGGTCTTTTCAAGATGGTGCAAGGTGAGGTTTTGTTTGCTTGTTCCAGCTATATGACGTCTGTCTGTAAATAATCGAGTCTGGACCAGACAATCCAGTGATTGATATCATAAGCATCGATCCACGCAATTGGGATTGATGACATGCATCAGCCATACAATCCTTGTTTTAGCCCCTTAATGCTGAGCGCCAGGCAGGGTAAGAACAAGTACCATCTTTTAACGTCTTTTGGTGTGACGCGGCCGGGGATCAAACCCGGGACCTTCCGTTCTACGGGTAGACGCTCTACTACTGGACCATTGAGGCGGTCCAAGATGGTGCAAAACCTGCTTGGGTGGGATGTGCACGGCACTATCTACTGTGCTATCCCATCATGTGTAGAAAAACAACACAACTGCGATACTTGTATCATGGTGAGGATTTATTCATGTGATATTACAGACGTCAAGGACTCAGGAATGAGGAACATTTTGACACAAAGTGTTATAAATGTTAAAGCTCTTATCAAGTTTCCAGATATAACAAGATCTAAGAAAGAAAACTATGTCACACACGGCAGGTAGTGGAGGTATTGTTACAGAATCAAGGACACCGATTGGACAGACAGTAGACATGTTGCCTGGCAACCGTGACATGTTTAAACAACATGACCGACTAGCACACAGGGAGGGAATACACATACATACATACATACATACATACTACAATGACTGGATCCCCAGGAATGTTCTAGATCGGACAATATGACAGCACACAGCTGGGGCCTCTACAAGACCGCTCAAACTGCATTACACTCAGTAGTAGCCAAAGGAGGCAGATACAACTTGGTGAAATATCAGAAACAATAAATTATTAAATTTTATTTCAACTTTAGTTTGGATGCATTTTATTTTTCATATTTTTGAATAACAAGAATGGATGGGGAGCTGGAGTATGTGTATTGTGTCTTCCATTAAGTCATTTTTTTAAAACATTACTTTGTATTCATAACTCACTTGTATATATATACATGTACTACCCAAAAGAAGTTAAAGAACACCCGATTCTTTCATATTACAATTGTTAATCTGTCTTGGCATGTGAGATTAACTATAGTAATATGAAAGAATTGGGTGTTCTTTAACTTCTTTTGAGTAGTATATATCAACTTCTTCTTGTCTCTATATAGGTTAAAATAATGCCGATCCGGTGTTAAATTTCACTCACCCATAAAGTCAATCATGATGGCCACACACAGCAATTTTCTTCTTTGTAGATACTTCGGCTCAACAAAATGATGTGTGATTCTTAGGTGGGGATGAAAATCTTATAATTCATTATGGCCTAAACACAGCATTTAAATCATTGTTGAAACCAAGGGTAATGTTCAGCATCAATATAATACTAAATTACTCGAGCTATTTTTGTCAATGAAACAGCTATTTCTTCCTTAAAGCAGCTTTAATATGACTTACCAGTATTTAAAATGGATATTCCCCTTTTTAATTAACAGTTCATCACATGTTCATATATAATTGAAATCAAAACACAAAAGGTTTAAGATTCTGGTTCTTGAGAAGCATTTCAAATTTTTCTAAGATATCTGATTCTCAAGTTAGCTTGCTTTTAACCCTGTCATTGAATGTGGCATTGACTAGAATTGCATCTATCATTTACAAGCAATTTTAATCTTAAGTTTACAGATGCACATGAACTGTTCTGTTCCATCCTATTTTAGTCGGCGACTCGGCTTCCCTTTGTATGAATGTAATCTACATCCATGTCAGGTCTATACTGGAGACAGTACAGTGTACAACAATGCTTCTCCTTCTTTTCAGGACCTGAGAAACAATTTCCTCGAAATGTGACACTAAATTGTATAAGTAGTTTGTTTTCATGAAAAAAGACATTAATAGGAAAATCTCCATTCCTTTTATGCTCCTTCCCAAATTGAGTATTTTCTTGCATGAATCTGGACCCTGTTATGTTTTGTGAGATCGGATTCTGTCAAGGCCACATGTTAAAGGCCTGACATATTTCACTATGATATAATCTGACACAATGGCAAAAGCTTTTGATTTTAAGAATGACATACATGAGTAAGGATGAATTTGTCAGTTTCATGTTTAAACTTCGCTACATATTTTGTGATGAAATTCCATTTTACATATTTCTTATATTAAGACAAAGTTCTCATAAGTGATGTCACATGACAACCAAACCCAATCACTTGTGCATGTCCAAGTTCTGGTCCAAGATATTTTATCAGTGCACTATGCATAGCTACCATACCATGTCACATTATGTATACCAGTTCAGGGCTGGGATCAACACAGCACAGCCACAACAAGGCATTATTTAAAATCTCTTCATAGTACATTGTCCAAGTTTATAGACATCAAGTTCAAGGTGAGTCTGATAATGATCATACCCATGGTCAGGGCTGATATAAAACACAGTGCTCCCAGCACAGGCATAAAAAATGGGCCACTTGACACATATTGTCATTATAAGATACTTTTCTTACTTTAATACTCCCGAAAACCTCAAAACTGACACATTCAAAGTTTTGAGTACTTGCATAACACGAAGAACAAGTGAATGAGTGAGTGAGTTGGGTTTAACACCGCTTTTAACAGTATTCCAGTTATATCACAGCATATCAGCTTAATGTGGAAGGAAATCCTGAAGTGATGCAGGTCTTAGACATTTACCACTTCGGTGAAACCCATGAGCACAGGTATGGTGCTGACAAACCTAGAAACATAATCGGGGGAACCGGGATTCGAACCCACAATCATAGGTTTCTGGCATGCCCAAGGGATGCAACTCTGCACAGCAAATCACAGTGCCTTAGACGACTGGGTCACCCATATCCCCACACGAAGAACAAAACTGATAATGTTTTGTACTATTCTTATGTTTTTATGTACTGGAGCAGTCTTCATATATTTATATATTCTAATAAACCAAGTTGTTTACCATTTAAAAACTCCTGAGACAAGTTCCGGAATAAAGCCATGTTGCCTGGCTTCTGGCCTGCCTACCTCTTCACCATGGACTGATGGAGTGGGCAAGTGATGAACCCCCTGGTTTGAGAGTACAACATCGGACACCATGTACAATCATTCAATCGTGCAAATTAGTGCAGATGTTTATATATCAGCTTCAAATTATATTGTACGGTTAAATAAATCTCAAAACTGAATTTGAATGGTCGATGGACCAGTACACATCTCGCTATACATCAGCCAGGAATGGCTGCCATTGTACACACATCACATGGAACGATCACAGTGTAGGGGAGATAATTGGTTGACAAAGTTGATTAAGGATGTTCCCTGGTCTGGGCCAGTATTTAACTTTCACTCAGGGAGGAAGTTTACAAATCAACATGATTTAATGGAACTGTTCAAATGAAATACGAAAGGCATCTGTTGTTTTTCTACTGCTCTTGGTGCCCTTCAGCTACAGCCCATTATTGTAGACATTTGTAGGCAAGACACTAATTGTGCAAACATATTTGCATAAAAGTACTTAATAACATAATACATGTAGTATTTATTAAAAACATTCATCTTTCTGAAAACATATTGTCTACATAAGTGTGCCTTATTGGGCAAATTGATTAAAACATGCATATTTATTTTCCCCCGTAATTTTTAATTCCACTGATGACGTCATGAAGTTGGATGATGTCCCAAAGGTATCCACTGATGACATCATGAAGTCGCATGATGTCCCAAAGGTATCCACAAATGACGTCATGCAGTGGTATGATGTCCCAAAGGTATCCACTGATGACATCATGAAGTGGTATGATGTCCCAATGGTATCCACTAATGACGTCATGAAGTGGTAAGATGTCCCAAAGGTATCCACTAATGCGGTCATGCAGTGGTATGATGTCCCAAAGGTATCCACTAATGACGTCATGAAGTGGTAAGATGTCCCAAAGGTATCCACTGATGATGTCATGAAGTGGTATGATGTCCCAAAGGTATCCACTGATGACGTCATGAAATGGTATGATGTCCCAAAGGGATCCACTAATGACGTCATGAAGTGGTAAGATGTCCCAAAGGTATCCACTGATGATGTCATGAAGTGGTATGATGTCCCAAAGGTATCCACTAATGACGTCATGAAGTGGTAAGATGTCCCAAAGGTATCCACTGATGACATCATGAAGTGGTATGATGTCCCAAAGGTATCCACTAATGACATCATGAAGTGGTATGATGTCCCAAAGGTATCCACTGATGACGTCATGAAGTGGTATGATGTCCCAAAGGTAACAAGGAAATGATGTCATGTTAAACGTTATCAACTACTCATTTACATCTCAGACATGAGAATAGCTATACTCTTTGTTGGAGGAACATCGCCAATCTAGGGAACATTTTAAAAACAAGGATTAAAATAAGTGCATTTTACATCATTCTGAGAGGAAAGATCCCGTAATTCCCGGAATCCGAGGAAAAGTCTCATGTCAGAAAACTCTGGTGATCAATGGCATCAAAAGGGAAACAATTCCTCTTCCTGTTTGATATGTAACGCCTTCCCTGATGTTTGTCTCTATCTTTCAAGCTATGAATCTTGGCGTCATCACTTCACACTGGGGACAGACTGACGTCAGAACACCCACGAATGTTTGAGCTGTACAAAAGCATACCAGCACATGTCCTTAACAAAGAGGACTTCAAAACATGTTTGTGACAATTGTGAAAAGTAACATCCAAATGCAGAGGAATTCACAAAAAGAAGCCATGGAACATATATAGGACAAACAGACACAACCGGAGATGTGATCCCCAATCTGACAGCTATGAAAAAATAGACAGGGCTATTTCACTGCTTCCATAACAGGCTCAATATTAGACACGTTCCAATTGTCATGACTGCCCTGTTGGCCCTCAATAGACAACAATGCGCAACCTTTGACAAGAACATTGTCTAACTTGACAACTCTGTAAGCGCAAGTAGGGTAAACACAACCCCGATGATGAAGAAATGAGTTATCATAAGACAGGGTGAGTGAGTATGGTTTTATGCCGCTTTTAGCAATATTCCAGCATTATCGCGGCGGGGGACACCAGAAATGGGCTTCACACATTGTACCCATGTCGGGAATCGAACCCGGGTCTTCGGCGTGACGAGCAAACGCTTTAACCACTAGGCTACCCGACCGCCCCTGATGATGAAGAAATGAGTTATCATAAGACAGGTCATAACAAGGAGGCTCTGTAACCATATTGCTGCCAGGGATACTCGCATCACATGTACAAGCATCACATCACATTACAAGCCAGCAAAATTATTAGTTCACTTCAACCATGGTATATCGAGGCCAGACTTTAGGTAAAACTGTGCTTACGACTCTGCCGACAAAATTGAAATGTAAATAAATGAAAAACTGAAAAGTAGTGTTATTTCTATCCACTGACCAGAAATAAGTAAAATGTTAAATCTAAAACAATGCTTATTTACTGTCACTATCAACAAAAATAAATTATTTAAAATATAATTAAAACCTGTTAGAAATTTTATCTTAAAAACTTTAAAAAACTACAAATAATGACAAACTGCGTCAGATCTGTCTGACATCTTTTTTCTTTCTTACCTACTTAACATTTTGAGGAAATCAAAAACATATATTTGAAATTGGACTTTTTCATTAATTTTTTCGACCTGACCTGAATTTTGGGCCAAAACTCTGTAAAAAAGAAAAAGACAAAAAGTCTGGCCTAACAAGTAAAAGTCATAAAGCAAATACAATTGTGTCCATAAACTTGAAGATGTATCACTACCGTATTAATCAACCTCTGCCCACATGCACACAAAGATCACGGCGGCTGATTATTGTAGTCTGCGAGGCAGTATGAGACTTAGTTGTAGCTACGTAGTGGACCCTGCAATGTTTCCCTTGCTACAGTTGAACCTCATTAATCCAAACCAGTCCCTGTACGCGTCACCTGACTATTTGTAGGATGGCCCATTCTGTGACTATCCTCACTGCTAATTTACTTGTGTTTGAGATGGAACTTGGACAGTTATTACTTGCATATTTTAAAACAAAAAGTTTAATGAAACACAAATTGTCTGGATTATTAAGGTTCTACAGTTTCCTTTGACTGGGGAAACAGTTAAAAAAAGGAGAAGACTGTCAAAAAAAAATAATGTCAGTCTTGGTGTCACGACAATGTCAATGACCGTATTATCACAGGTAATAATATAGTAGGCGCCTTAGGTGGGGGTCCAGACTGGGGTATATTGTAGGAAGTAAAATTATCTGAGAGAGGATTTTGATGTTTTGGATCCCTCCCTTTTAAAAATGCTGGATCCGCCTGTGTTTCTAGTGAACAGGGAAAAAAGAAGAGACAAAGAAATTGTTAAAAAGAGCGGTCTGATCTGGATGCAGATCATCAATATTAGTGAGTCTCAAGACAAACATCACCACGTTATCACATGTCTGTTTGTACAGTGTACAGAAACTGCCGAGCAAACGAAAGTACACACCATGTTTAATGGTGACCCAAAATGAAACAAACAAGAAATGGTCATTTGGAGGTGATGTACCGTATTCGATCTAATTAGCGCCCAGAGCATCTCAAAATTAGAAATAGGGGGCTCTTATTAGAATATTATTTTGGTGAAAGAAAATAAAATTTCGTGGTTGATGCTGGCAGCCTGAAATGTTTATGTACAGCAGATATATTTTTCCAGAATTTAATTGCCAATAATTAAGGGTGCATATAACACACGAGTGCATATTGCACGCGAATAAATGAGTCTTGTGTACGTTGATCAATCCGAAGGGGTGCTAATTGGGATTGTTCACTAGCCAATATATTAGCAAATATCGCCATGGGCGCTTATTAGAGCAGGGCGCTTATTATGTGGAATACGGTATTTGATACAGGTATCATAGTTGTGTTGGACCTTAAGTTTGCAGTGTTTCGGCGACTGTTTTCAGCCTAGTAATGTTTTAATAACATTTCTATTTTTTGGTCAAATCCAATATTCAAGGGTATACTTTTTTTTACCCAGCAGTTTACATTATGGAATGATGGAAGGGTCGCACAATATTATGGTGGGTATTATGAAACCAACAACATACACTTGAATGATTAAATATTGAAGAAATATGTACAACATTGTTAACATCATTGTTGCCATGAGATTACAGTCTATATATTACTGGGATATACAACACATGATACAACACGAAATATCTGTACATGTGTGGTCACAATATCACTCCAACAATAAAAACCACACACAAATACTCACACACACACTCACTCACTTCTAGTACACTATATACAATTAGTCTAGCTGTCCTAACACGAATTTTAATTCGAACAATGAGTGAGTGAGATTATTCCTCTTTCATCGATCGTTAGAAAGGTTCACCACCAACTGCTAGACTAATTTCTTGTATTGTCATTAAACACTATCGCACTGCACTCTACTCACTGTGGGTGATGCAAATCTAGCTGTTGATTGTGAAGTTTCAGACATTTGTAGGTTAAGTGTCTGCCTTGCCTTGTTGGTCCTCCACCCAACTAAAGAAATTCCTTTTTTCTTCAAGTTTCAGACCCATCTTGACATCTATCATGTCTACACAACAACCTCACTCACTCACTGTCATGTTGTCTGCCAACTGTTACTGACCTGACTAAAGGGAGGCTACTCCATCTGGCAAATATGAAACTGCAAGTTCAGCTTTAAAATTCTTTGACACAATCACAGTCTATCACTGACGTAATACTTAACTATTAACATAGGGTGTGCCTGTTTGCAGCACACTAACTGTTCTTGTGCCTCCATCATTTTTGTGCATCTCTCAGTTCCTGATTGAACACTCATATTCTCTCACTTACAACACTGTGGGATAACAATTTTTAATCGTTTTTGTTCAGTGAGTGAGTGAGTATAGTTTTACACTGTTTATAGCAATATTCCACAAATATCACGGTGGGGGACACCAAAAATAGGCTTCACACATTGTACCCATGTGGGAATCGAACCCAGGCTATCAGCGTGATGAGTGGACAATTTAACCACAAGGCCACCCCACCGCCCCTATTTTTCGTTCACAGGTCATGTAGTTGTTCAGAAGGCACACTGCATGACGAAAGTGCATAGTGTCTCACTACCTGCATTCTCTGCAAAAGTTCTCAGACTTAAAATGATAATATGTCATATCATGTACCAGTCAACATCGTAACAGCAACAGCTACATCGACAACCTTTACATATGATATGTCTAGATAATAATAGAAAAAATATCTAAAATCATTACATTCAAACAAACAAACAAGCATTTAATATGTTAAAAATCTCTAAACACAGGCCATTATACATGTCTAAAATATGCACAAACATCTCAACATTATTATAAAATTCTCTGTGTGTTCTGGGAAACTAGCTGAGTTCCATGTACTCCTATCTCACCAGCTCTGCCTGCTTGACATGACACGACAGTGACATGACAGTACGTGACAGTGACATGCCAGTTACATGTCCAAATTCAGGATCAAAGGATTTCCTCAAGCTCAGCCTTTTGTCTCAGCCTCATTGTGACGCTAATTTACATAATTGATCAATTCTCTTTTACAGAGCATGTTACACCTGCTTTGATCAAACTCTTTTTCATCTCTCGGTGAAACATGTGAGGAATGAGAAACGAATGTACCCCAGGCTGCTGTCTGTTCCAAGCTGCCACACCATGTAATTATAACAGCCACGAAGTCTCCCCTACTTTCCCATCTCTGTGTCGTTATATGATGCAGTTAGTGTTCGGCACAACATCTTAACATTAAATGTTAAACAATTGAAAAACAAAACCAAAAAAACCTTCATAACGTTGGGTTACATGCATGTAATAGCTTTGATAATCATCATAGAAGTGTTATATACCTTCTGATTTGTTCACATGATTATAGTTAATCTGTCGTGTTCATGACATATTAACTGTTAATCTGTCGTGGTCATGACATATTAACTGTTAATCTGTCGTGTTCATGACATATTAACTGTTAATCTGTCGTGTTCATGATATATTAACTGTTAATCTGTCGTGGTCATGACATATCAACTGTTAATCTGTCATGGTCATGACATATTAACTGTTAATCTGTCGTGTTCATGACATATTAACTGTTAATCTGTCGTGGTCATGACATATTAACTGTTAATCTGTCATGGTCATGACATATGAACTGTTAATCTGTCGTGTTCATGATATATCAACTGTTAATCTGTCGTGGTCATGACATATTAACTGTTAATCTGTCGTGGTCATGACATATTAACTGTTAATCTGTCGTGGTCATGACATATCAACTGTTAATCTGTTGTGGTCATGACATATTAACTGTTAATCTGTCGTGGTCATGACATATCAACTGTTAATCTGTCGTGGTCATGACATATTAACTGTTAATCTGTCGTGTTCATGACATATTCACTGTTAATCTGTCGTGTTCATGACACATTAACCATAGTCAATGAAAAATTCGGGTGTTCTTTAACTTATTTTGAGGATAGAAATGAACTATACTGATGGAAAGAAATAAGGGAACAGCATCTGTTTCACGTGACATCCTGAATGCTCCCTGAACACCTTCATCTGTGGGGTGAGTGAGTTGGTTCAGTGATGCTTTTTAACAGTATTTTAGTGTCAGCTTAATGTGGGAGGAAAGTGATGCAGGTTTTACACTTTTACCTCTTTGGGAGTAAGTGAGTGAGTGAGTGAGTGAGTGAGTGATTATTGTTTTACGCCACTTTTAGCAATATTCCAGCAATATCATGGCAGGGGACAACAGAAATGTTCCTTTATTTCACTTCAATAGTATATTTCAGTATACAGAAACTGCTAAAGCCGGGGTAGATTTAAAACAACAAATTTGTTTATAGCCAGTAGGGCTTGCTCCTTTTAAGAGTTACTGGCCCTTCTCCAAACTAGCTTGCCTACAACTAAGTGGTGGAAAACCTGAGGACCTAGCAGGGCTCTGAAAATTTTAGAACATTTTTTCCTGCACTCTGAGATTAAATCTTGGCTTTCATTTGCCCCATTTCATGGTGACTTATGAGCAAAAACAGATGTTGTTGTACACAAGTTATAAAATGTGGACGGTTGCCTTTTTACCGAGATGACCGAAATAAAAAACTTAAACATACGCAGAGAAGGGGTGAAATTTTGAACAGCCAGACGGAACATCCACTTTCTGTTTCAGCAAAGCCCTTGATTTGATACAGAATGATAAAAAGCTGACACAGAATTGACACATGAGAATATAAAGTTGGTAAAGCATAAACAGGGGCAGGTCACTCTCCAAGCTGTGAGGTCCGTGAAGATGGCGACTAGAATAACAATACAGGAAGCATTCAACAACAGACCATCAGGACAGACAGATTTTCGATCGTGTAAGACTTTCATGAAATTGATCAGTCAGAGTGGGCACAGTGGACTGGAAAGTGTTGGTGGTGTGGTTGGGGTAGCTGGCGTGGAAGGGGTGGTGATGGAGGCGGGGTTGGAAAAGTAATTGAGTAGGGTGGGGGTTAGGGTGGAGGGTTGGCAGAGGGTGTGGGGTTGGCAGGTAGGGGGCAGAGGGTTGGCAGGTAGGGGCGGAGGAGGGGGCGGAGGGTTGGCAGGTAGGGGGCAGAGGGTTGGCAGAGGGTGAGGCGTTGACAGGTAGGGGGTGAGGGGTTGGCAGATAGGGGGTGGAGGGTTGGCAGAGGGTGAGGGATTGACAGGTAGGGGGTGAGGGGTTGGCAGATAGGGGGTGGAGGGTTGGCAGAGGGTGAGGGATTGACAGGTAGGGGGTGGAGGGTTGGCAGGTAGGGGCGGAGGGTTGGCAGGTAGGGGGCGGAGGGTTGACAGATAGGGGGCGGAGGGTTGGCAGGTAGGGGGCGGAGGGTTGGCAGGTAGGGGGCAGAGGATTGGCAGAGGGTGAGGGGTTGACAGGTAGGGGGCAGAGGGTTGACAGGTAGGGGGCGGAGGGTTGACAGGGAGAGGGCAGAGGGTTGGCAGAGGGTGAGGGGTTGGCAGCTAGAGGGTGGAGGGTTGAGAAGAAGGGAACATACCAACTCAACTAACATCAGACAACTCAACTCAAACAATCATCAACATCGCATATTACACACACACACACGTTTGATTTTCTACAGTAAATGAGATCATGTTTTCAACCACTGCGTGAAACAGACAACAGACAGGCTCCACCTGTGTCCATAAACCTCACACAAACCTGCTGATACAGCCAGGGCGCAGAGACCATCCAGGTGTTCAGCACACCAACAAATATATTAAGGATATTAATGCTAAAACATTATTGTGAAGACCACCCATACCGTCCACCCTTGTTTCCAAGGAGGGAGTGGTGGTACACACAAATGTACAGGCTAGGACTTACTTATATACACCATACCAAGTAGCCACATTCAACCTGTATCACAGACAACAGCAATACAGACATCTAAATATATTACAGGTGATGTCATAATACAAGTCACAGTATTGCACATACATTATTGTTGTATACTATACACCAGCTGGGGGATATCATATTAATATTGAGAGTATGTATATGTAGTAACCAGGGTCTCGTTGTACAAAGCGATCTTAGCCCTAATGTGATCGTAGCTCCGATACCTTAACACAGACCTATGACAATCGTAGCGCTAAGGTTATTTTGTACAATGGCATCCTGGATGATATTTGGGTGATACTGGACTTAAATCTCACTGACACAGGAGCAATGGACTGATAACAGGCTGATACCGGACTGATACAGGGTTATACACCACAGATGATACTGGGCTGGACTGCTTGAGGGACGATAAGTAGGTTTAAACAAATTGGATAACAGCAGCTGATACAAGGCTGATGGGCTCAGACCTGATACTGAACTGATACCGGACTGATACAGGGTTATACACCACAGTTGATACTGGGCTGGACTACTTGAGGGATGATAAGTAGGTTTAAACAAGTTGGATAACAGCAGCTGATACAAGGCTGATGGGCTCAGACTGTGCTCATACCTGATACTAAACTGATACTGGATTGATACAGGGCTTTCATAAGGTTGATACAAAGCTTATGCAAGGCTTAAACAGAGCTGATACTGAACTGATACTGGATTGATACAGGGCTTACATAAGGTTGATACAAAGCTTATGCAAGGCTTAAACAGAGCTGATACTGAACTGATACTGGATTGATACAGGGCTTACATAAGGTTGATACAAAGCTTATGCAAGGCTTAAACAGAGCTGATATTGGACTGATACTGGATTGATACAGGGCTTACTTAAGGTTGATACAAAGCTTATGCAAGGCTTAAACAGAGCTGATATTGGACTGATACTGGATTGACAAAGGACTGACATAAGGTTGATGCAGAGCTAATGCAAGGCTTAAACAGGGCTAATATTGGACTGATACAAGGTTACCAGACAGCGAGATGGCTTAAACTGAAAACTGGCTTAAAAAAGGCAGATAACAGACTGATACTAGATATGAGGCTTAAACAGGGCACATACCTGATACTTGATACAGGACTTAAACCAAGTTGATATTGGGCTGATACAAGGATTAAGCAGGGCTGATGCCAGACCAATATCAGATTGACAACTGTACTGATACAGTTATAATTCAATACAGGACAGACACGTAGAAAGTGTTTTCTTTTCCTGTTTTCCATATTTCGCAAGAATAACATATATTTACAATTATCCATTCTTAAAGATGTTAACATCTTCCAATCATGTATTTTGAACAGAAATCACACCCACAGTTTGAAGCTCATTCTGCTGTCATTCAGATGACCTTGTAACTCAATACTTTTTCCAGAGTCCTGCAAATAATTCTCAGCCTCTATCTCAACTCAGACAAGCTACAACTGAAGCATTTTCTTCAAAAAATATTTTTACTCACTTGTAGAAATAAAATATTCCTAAAATATACCTGTAAGTTCTCAAATGTTTTTCAAGGTCAAGGTGTACATGTGCTGACTGCGGCTGAGCATGGGATGCTGCCATATTTAATGTCATTGATACTCCATACACAAAAGTCTACATGTGAATGGTTGCTGCGGACCTGCAAGGCTGCCCATGACATCACTTCCTGCGTGTGAATATATTGGAGATATTGGCCTTGGATGTGGTGTCCTTGATGCGTGACATGACCCGGGACTTCATGTCGTCTGCTGCTGAACCCAGTTGAGCCCCTGGTGACTGGGCGAAGCTTAGGTTCCTGAAACACAACAACAACACCATCATCATCATCATCATCATGCTGTGGTGAGCTTTGCAGGTTTTTCTTTAGGGCTCTGGGTCCCGTTTCACAAAGAGATCTTAATGCTTGGAGGATTGTAAGTCTATGTTTAAGTATAGGAGTTATGATCACCTAAGTGCTAAGATCCCTTTGAGGAACGGGCCGTTGATGGGTACACCACTGATGGGTACTCAAGTAATGAAGCTCAGGTCAGGTTTAAATTGAATAGGGACTTGAATACTTTACAAGGGGAGATAACTCACATCTTCACTTCTCTAACATGTTGCTGCAGACATGGCAGTACAGTGTCTAGACACATTTTGACAAAGATAATGCAGAAAGTAAAAGAAAAATGTCGATTGTGTGGCACATTAACATTGAAATCGGGTACTAGTACACATCAGTTTATAAGACAGAGCTTTCGTTTCTTGTACGTAATGTAACATTGTACAGTTGTACATGACAAGTGTAAACGACAGGTGTATCACCACTTTATATAGTTACTCAACTATCAGTGTCACAGTAACATCAATAGCATCACTCCCAGTGAAAAACAAAAGGGCACCTAGTTTCATAAACTAAGCCAACACTTGACAACCGTGAGTCAGATACATTGTATGATGTTACCTGTCCCCTGGACGGGCTCCCTCCATCTTGGACTCGTACTCGCGGACCATGGAGGCAACGACTTCCTCGTGGTCAGGAGCGATGACGGCCATGTCCTGCCGTAGACATCGGAGTCCGGGCAACATGGCTTCCTGGATGAGCTGGTCATTGATGACTGGTGGGAATTAAGGAAGGCAACAACTCATGAGTGAGTGAGTTAGTGGATTGGTTGGAGGTGAGGTGAGTTGAAATGGGGTTTAACGTCGCGTCCAAGATTATTGCACTTATATAGCGACATGCATGTGTATTTGTGTGTGGGGCTGCTTGTACTAGTCCGGACTGATGCCGATTTATAGTGCTAACCCACTGAGATACCATGCCGCAGTTTAACATGAATACCCCACTCAGACACAGTATACTGACTCTGTGCCGACCAGTCCTTGTTTTAAGCCCCTTAATGCCGAGCGCCAGACAGGGTAACAACAAGTACCATCTTTTAACGTCTTTTGGGCGGACGCTCTACCTTTAGACCAAGGAGGCGGTCGGATTGGTTGGAGGGTGAGTGAGTGAGTGAGTGAGTGAGTGTGTTTGAGGGTGGGTGAGCGAGTGTGTGAGTGGGTTGGAGGGTGGTCGAATGAGTGAGTGAGGGGGTGGGCTGGAGGGTTGAGAGAGTGAGTGAGCGAGTGGGTGGGTTGGAGGGTGGTTGATTGAGTGTGTGGGTTGGGTGAATGAGTGAGTGAGTGAGTGAGTTGTAGGGTGGGGTAGTGAGTAGGTTGGAGGTAGGATGAGTGAGTGAGTGGGTTGGAGGGTGGGTGAGTGAGTGAGTGAGTGAGTGAGTGAGTGAGTGAGTGAGTGAGTGAGTGAGTGAGTGAGTTTCAGTTATGTCACTGAGTGTCAGTTGAAAGTAGCAGGAATGTCTGAAGTGACATGGCCGCCTCCGTGGTCTAGGTGTAGAGCATCTGCCCAGAGAATGGAAGGTCTGGGGTTTGATCCCCGGCTGCGTAATACCAAAAGACGTTAAAAGATTGTACTTGTTGTTACCCTGTCTGGCGCTGGGCAATAAGGGGCTAAAACAAAGACTGGTCGGCACAGAGTCAGTATACTGTGTCTGAGTTGGGTATTCATGTTAAGTATTGGGTATTCATGTACCTGACTAGTACAAGCAGCATCACACACACACACACACACACGTGCATGCACGTCACTATATAAGTACGACGTTAAACCCCATTTCACCTTACCTCACCTAAAGTGACACAAGTCATACACATTTACCATACACATACAGGACAATGTATATATAAATGGTGCTGACAAACCAAGGGTCACAATCAGGGAAAATCAACAATGATAATTGGCTCCTGACATGCCTTCAGGGAGGTAACTCTGCACAGCAAAGTGCCACCCATGTCCTCAGCTTGATATGACTAATACAACACTGGCAGAAGTGGTTTGACACAGGCAAATAGTTGCATAAAGCTAGATTACTGCACTTTTATAGCGACATTATAATTGCTAGACCACTGAGACAACTAATCCTTATTTTATCCCCTGAATACAGAGTTCCAGGCAGGGTTACAACAAGTATCATCTTTTAAAAGCCTTTTGGTATGACTCAGCCAGGAATCAAACCACTGGCCTTCTGATCTCCAAGCTGATGCTCTATCAACTACACCACGTAGGCGGTCCATGCAATAGATGAGCAGACAAAGGAAAGAAAGAGAAGACTGGGCGTATCTGAATAAAACTTAATGATAATGAGTGAGTGAATATTTTGTAAGCACCCTTGGCGTCCAGTAACATATGCTTAAAGCAAGTATTGTAAGTTTGGGTTTGTTTGTTGTTTAACGCCGCGCTCAGCAATATTCCAGCTATATGACGGCGGTCTGTAAATAATCAAATTCTGGACCTGACAATCCAGTGATTGACATCATGAGCATTGATCCAGGCAATGAGATACGATGACATGCATCAAACAAGTCAGCGAACCTGACCACCTGATCCCGTTAGTTGCCTTTTACGACAAGCATAGTCGCCTTTTATGGCAAGCATGGGTTGCTGAAGACCTATTCTACCCCGAATCTTCACGGGTCAAGTATTGTAAGAGGGGAACAAGATGGATCAGGTGGTCAGCCACAGGGACTCAGTTGATTGTATATGTTTGTTCCACAATGTTACTCCTATTCACCACTGGCTTATCTGGTCCAGATTTGATTATTGACATGATGCCTTGGTTATAGCTGGAATATTTTGACTGTAGCATAAAACAACATTCATTCACTAGCAATTATAGCCATATTACACAGTTGCCTGCAGGTGTGCCTGGGCAATAGACATGGGTCTTCAAAAGAACCAGCAAACATTATATGTTTCTATGTTCATTATTTAATGCCGCACTCAGCAACATTCCTCTGATTGATATTACAAGAAACTATCCACTCTGTAGGGGAATAACAATGAAATCAACCGAGTCCGACCACTTGATCCATCAAGTCCCCCTCCTGCGACCAGCATAGGATGCTGGGAACCAATTCTAACCCTGAATCCTGACGGGATGCAACACTGTGTAGGATACAACAGCAAGACATGGCGCTGTAGGCTTCAAACAGCTGCATTGCAATGTCCATCTTCTTGGTCTCGTTGGTCACATTATTATTGGCCATCGCCATTGCTGCCAGCCGGGGTAGAATAACTGAAACACAAGACGGACACAATTAGTTGCTGAGGGTGACAGACAGAATGTGGTGCAGACAGATATGCTACGGTTCTAAAACTGAAACACAAGACGGACACAATTAGATGGTAAAAGTGACAAACGGTATGTGATACTGACTATTATATCACAGTTCTAAAACTGGAACACAAGATGGACACAATTAAATGGCTACTTGGTTACAAACGGTATATGATATAGACAAATATACCACAGTTCTAAAACTGAAATACAACAAGGTAAAAAGTGAGCAGGGCTCACTAGTAACCTTGACTTCAACTCCAACTTTTTTCTAAGTTCAAAATGTGAAAAAAGCCATATTTTCTCAGAAAATCCACTAATCGAAATCAAACTTTGCATTGCATATCTCCCATAAGTATAGAAACTGTACCCCCAATTAGAAAAGAATCCATGAAGAAGTTTTTAAGTTATAGGTCACACAAATGTTGAAGTAAAAAAATATATTCTAAGTTCAAAATATGAAAAAATTGTATTTTTTTAGAAAATACACATGTCACGATCAAACTTTGCACTGCACCTCTCCTATTAGTATAGAAAGTGTTCCTTAAATTTGAAAAGAATCTAGTTCTCAGGATGGAAGTCGCACAAATGTTGAAGTAAAAAAAAAGCATTGTGTAACTGTGTTGATAACCATGGCATGATTATTAGGAAGAAATATGACACAAATTGTTGATATTTCACCTATTTTGCATGCGCAGCCATATTTCCAATGTTCAGACTCCTAATCTGAAGAGCGAGTGAGTGAGTTGGGTCTTATGCATCTTTTAGCAATATTCCAGCAATATCACAGTGGGGGACGCCAGAAATGGGCTTCACACATTGTACCCATGCAGGGAATCGAACTCAGGTAATTGGCGTGATGAGCGAACCCTCATCCAGTGATCTACCTCGCTGCCTTGCTCACCTGAAGAAGCAAGCACAGGACATCATTCTGAACTCCCTTGGGATTATACAACCCTACTGCCTAATAATGAGCACAGTCAAATCTTTGGGTGGAATACCGGTAGTTTACTGAGCTTCTGCCATAACCACAGTAATCCTATAGTTTACCTATATCCAATTCATCTTCTGATTCTAACTCAGTCATTTGAACTGCCATCCAAATGACACCATGCAAATTGAATTTGAAAGTGATAAATCATTTAAACCAAAACAGTGACAGTAACATAGCATGATCAAATAACGGGGTTTATCAGAACACCAGAGGAAAACAGCCTAATTAAGTTGGACTTGGAATGAATATGGTTACTGACACATCCCTGCAAGTTACACTGCAAATTATAGCAACCATGACAGTGGTAATTCCATCTTGTATTGACGCAGCCTCCGCTGGTGTGACAAGTGACAAGTCAGATGACTACAATCCAATAATGTACAGCATCTTGTTGGGTAACTTCACTGGAGATTGGAGGTAGTTGACTGAATAGGTCATTTCAAAGCGCTATGAAAAAGGTAACAATTGGTCAGTTGGTAGTTGGTCAGTTGATATCTCTTTCTTATTATAATACAATACATATAGAGTGAGTGAGTTGGGTTTAACACCGCTTTCAACAGTATTCAAGTCATATCGTGGCGTGTCAGCTTAATGTGGGAGGAAAGCCCGAAGTGATGCAGGTCTCAGACGTTAACCACTTCGGTGAAACCCACGAGGACGGGTATGGTGCTGACAAACCTAGAAACATAATTGTGGCGAACAGGGATTCGATCCCACAACCATAGGTTTCTGGCGTGCCCAAGGGACGCAACTCTGCACAGCCAATCGCAGTGCCTTAGACGACTGGGCCGCCCGTGCCCCCCAATATATAGAACTCCAGAAATGTTACATAATTTTAAACGAACACACAATGCAATTTAGAAACACTTTTTTAGTAACGTACAGATTCAAGTACTTTCTGGGGTTGAGTCCCATCTGGGACTTGCACCCACACTGCCAGAGTGAGGCACCTGATCACCAGCACACAAATTTACAAATAAATCTAACATTTGTTACATTTGACCACTTTCTAAATGGCATTGTGTGTTTATAGCTTTCAGCCATGGGAGCTGTGCCAATTTACACTTGTCAGAGGGGTACACAAAGTATGTGATCTTAACTACAGTTGTCAGACTTCCTGACAACTTCTGAAACTACAGGCTTACCAAAGAAAGGAGTAGAAGGCCCGCAAACTATGGAAAGGGACACACTAACAAATTACACACAAGACACAGTTGCCATAAGGTGTGTATTGTAATGCTAAGAACCCCCTTTCCCACTCCTTCACATTTTTAATGTACCTGACACCCTAAAATCATGTGTGTGTGTGTGTGTGTGTGTGTGTGTGTGTGTGTGTGTGTGTGTGTGTGTGTGTGTGTGTGCATGTGCATGCATGTGAGTGCAGTGTATACATGTGTGAGTGTGTGCAAGTTTGTGTGTATGCATGTGCATGTGTGTGTTGGTATATATGAGTGTGCATATGTGTGTGCAGTGCATGTGTCGGTATGTGTGAGCATGTGTGCGTGTATTCACATGCATGTGTGTGTATAGTGTGTGTGTGCACATGTGTGTGTCTTGGTATGTGCGTGTGTTGGTGTGTTTATAGTGCTAATTTAACCCACTGAGATACCATGCCACAGTTTAACATGAATACCCCACTCAGACACAGTTTACTCACTCTGAACCAACCAGTCCTTGTTTTAACCCCTTAATGCAAAGCACCAGGCAAGGAAACAACAAGTAACATCATTTCAAGTCTTTTGGTAAGGCATGACATTCCAGTCTCCGGGCAGATCGACCTTTTACCACTAGATATAGTCAGTGAATTCATGTGTTGCTTTAAACTGCAGGCTTACGACAATCCAGATGTGTACTCTGTGACTAATGTGGTAGTCATATATTTCTGAACATCTTACAGCAGGAAAGCTATTATCAGTTATTATCTCCCAAAACAAACATACTCTCCAGCTCAGGTTTCTCATTTGAAAGGCAAGGCAGACGTCTAAAAAAGATCACATCAACAACGTCAATGCTGGAGTCAGGGCTGCAATTAAGACATTAACGATGGAGAACTCTTACTTATAATAGCATAACCACAGTTGTGATGGCAAAGATTAGACTTTATCAGATTTCATGCGAGATATTGTTGGAGAACTTAATATCTCATAGGTCATTTGGAAAGTTTGCAAGTGATATAGGAGCCATATCTACTGCAGATGTCATTTCAAACAAGTACTGACATAAATCACAGGCGAGGATATCTACATATGTAATACTATTTACTACAGAATAACATCTGTTACAGGTAATGATATCAAGTCCAGGTAGCACCATCTACCACATGTAGGACATCTGTTACAGGTAATGACATCAAGTACAGGTAGGACATCTGTTACAGGTAATGATATCAAATACAGGTAGGACATCTGTTACAGGTAATGACATCAAGCACAGGTAGGAGATCTGTTACAGGTAATGACATCAAGTCCAGGTAGCACCATCTACCACAGGTAGGACATCTGTTACAGGTAATGACATCAAGTCCAGGTAGCACCATCTACCACAGGTAGGACATCTGTTACAGGTCATGACATCAAGTCCAGGTAGCACCATCTACCACATGTAGGAGATCTGTTACAGGTAATGACATCAAGTACATGTAGGAGATCTGTTACAGGTCATGACATCAAGTCCAGGTAGCACCATCTACCACAGGTAGGAGATCTGTTACAGGTAATGACATCAAGTACAGGTAGGACATCTGTTACAGGTCATGACATCAAGTCCAGGTAGCACCATCTACCACAGGTAGCAGATCTGTTACAGGTAATGACATCAAGTACAGGTAGGACATCTGTTACAGGTAATGACATCAAGTACAGGTAGCACCATCTACCACATGTAGGATATCTGTTACAGGTAATGACATCAAGTACAGGTAGCACCATCTACCACATGTAGGATATCTGTTACAGGTCATGACATCAAGTCCAGGTAGGACATCTGTTACAGGTCATGACATCAAGTCCAGGTAGCACCATCTACCACAGGTAGGAGATCTGTTACAGGTAATGACATCAAGTACAGGAAACATCATCTACCACATGTAGGAGATCTGTTACAGGTAATGACATCAAGTACAGGTAGGACATCTGTTACAGATCATGACATCAAGTGCAGGTAATGACATCAAGTTCAGGTAGCACCATCTACCACATGTAGGACATCTGTTACAGGTAATGACATCAAGTACAGGTAGCACCATCTACCACATGTAGGAGATCTGTTACAGGTAATGACATCAAGTACAGGTAGCACCATCTACCACATGTAGGAGATCTGTTACAGGTAATGACATCAAGTACAGGTAGGACATCTGTTACAGGTCATGACATCAAGTCCAGGTAGCACCATCTACCACAGGTAGGAGATCTGTTACAGGTAATGACATCAAGAACAGGTAGGACATCTGTTACAGGTAATGACATCAAGTACAGGTAACACCATCTACCACATGTAGGAGATCTGTTACAGGTAATGACATCAAGTACAGGTAGGACATATGTTACAGGTCATGACATCAAGTGCAGGTAATGACATCAAGTACAGGTAGCGCCATCTACCACAGGTAGGAGATCTGTTACAGGTCATGACATCAAGTACAGGTAGCACTATCTACCACAAGTAGGACATCTGTTACAGGTAATGACATAAAGTACAGGTAGCACCATCTACCACATGTAGGACATCTGTTACAGGTAATGACATCAAGTACAGGTAGCACCATCTACCACATGTAGGAGATCTGTTACAGGTAATGATATCAAGTACAGGTAGCACCATCTACCACATGTAGGACATCTGTTACAGGTCATGACATCAAGTACAGGTAGCACCATCTACCACATGTAGGACATCTGTTACAGGTAATGACATCAAGTACAGGTAGCACCATCTACCACATGTAGGAGATCTGTTACAGGTA